AGTTTTAAAATGGTCAACAAAGTACAAACATTGAATTATATTATTACACACTTCTAACGAATTAAGTTGCCCATTTAAATATTATATTTTTGAAAAATAATTGAGTTAACATTGAATTCTCATCAAGCAACAAACGACAGGCTAAGATCTTGCTATATATAATTATTTGACTGTTAGTCACCATCAAAATCATCATTTATTTCTTAGACTAGATCGTGATTTTTAAGGAGTAAAGATTATGAAAATCGATAAGCGATTAAAAAATGTTAACATGATTTATTTTGATTCATAAAAGCCTTTAACAAATAGAGTTAATCGATATTTTTATGTGAAGGATTAGAAGATAGTCAATAAAATAGAGCGCTTGAATGATATGAGAGTTTACTAAGTTTATAATTTGTCTATATTGCATCTAAGTTTGTCTTTTGGTGTGCTAGACATATACACATTTATATTAGCTTGTTGTACAAACTTTGGAGGAAAAAGTATAGTGTGTAGGAGGGGTTTTTTGACTATATTCTAGGTTCAAATTTTCTAAAAATAATGTTTTGTTTGCATTTAATTTTTAAAAGATAATGACCAGATCGAGACTTATAGAGAGAAAAGAAAGTGATAATATAAGAACATAACTCTTCTGTAATTTAGAGTGTACTGTTTTTGACAAAATCGAACGCACACTTAAGATATTTTTGAAAAAAATCAAGCAATATAACTTGTATTAATGCCCAATATTAATCATTTTTAAGTTAAAAAATGTAGTGATAACTTATGTAAATTAGACCTCTTTTTTGATTGTATATAGTTGAAAGTTGAAAGAATGGAATTGGGAAATGTGTCCATTTTGATAAGGAAACCCCATATTCACGATTAAATTCCATATTGTTGGGACATAAACATAAATATATATGTCAGACAAAATGGAAATTTCAATATCATGCATTTACCTTATTCAATAAAATAAATAATAACTACTTGTAGATATGAATATTAATTAGTCCTCTTTTTTGCTTCATCTTCTGCTTTTATCCCCACATTTTAGACTCAAATTTTGTTCACACGCAACATATCATATGGTTCTTAAATAACTTTTACTAGACTATAAATGTTGTGAATATATGAATAATTCAAATAATGCTTATGTATCAATTATTTGGATAGAATGGGCCAATTAATTGGACAACCCAACAAGATATTTGCTTGGGATCCTATCTAGATTGATATATATCGGAGCAATATGTTTTTGTATATTATGTTATAAATTTATAGTGTTTGTTATCCGATTGATCCCTGCTTTGTTTACTATGTTCTAATATATCATCTTCTTCTGTTATTCTTTCCTTTGTTGGTGTTTGCTATTACCTTATTGTTCCAATTTTTAAATATAATTTAGGTTCATTGAGTATAAATTATTAAATATATTTAATTTTTGCATTGAACATTGATTTGTATCAATAAATAAAGCTAATTTCTTTCAATTTAGCCAAAGGTTAATCGTGAGCCTTTGCACTGTAGTCAACTTTTTGTCCCTTCATTATTAGTAAATTTTCTTGGATATCGTGATTAAGCATATTTAAGCTTCAATTTATTTGAAAATGATGTTCCTTAGCTAATAAGAACGTACTATATATCAACCATTTGATTATCTATGTGTTATCTTAAATTTGTATTTTCACTCCATATATTAGGATATTATAATTTCCTACATAAAGGAATCAAAATTACATATTTGAAACTTAAATGTGCCTAAGTCATGTATCAAAATAAGCTTTGTAACACTAGCTAAATTAGCTTAATTAATATTAACCTTATTGATTGTCCAACTAATAAAATTCCTTTGTTATTTCATTCAATCAATTTATTTCATTTCTTCAAAATATTCATGACGTGCGTTAGCCGTTCTAGAAAATATAAAATACTAGTAAAAGGAATTCTGGAGATTGAGAATATCTAATATTTTCATTGACAATTATCTTTTCTTAGGAAATTGGGGATAATTGAAATAGCAACTTAATTAGTAAGGTAAAAGGTGTCAACGTATTTGAAGACTTTCTGGTTTTTTATTTTATTTTATAATCGCGAGGCTTCAACTAACTCCACGAGATACGGACTAGTTTACATGAATAAAAATAAAGAACGGATCTAGAGTTTGATATTAGGGGAAAAGAAATAAAAGGAAAAATAAGAGAGGTAAACTTATAAGAATGACATTGGATACTCGAACCAAAATTCTCACATCTTTCCATTAAGTAAATTCGTTTATGTAAGTAAAAAATAATAAATTAAACATATAAATAGACAAAAGAAGAAATAACACAAATTTAATTTAACTCTGGGAAATAAGATTGATCAAGGAATAACCTCAAATTTGCAAACATCATGGCCTGTCAATAGAAAATGACAAAAAAATAATTAATTAAATTCTCTACATTACAAAAGAAACTAGTGCACTATATTAGTAACACTCCATTAATGATAAATAAGTTGAAGTAGACTATATATGCATATCACAAACCATAATAACTCCTAGCTAGAATGCATAAAACCTAAAGTAAACGTACTAATATGATTAAAACACATTCTCCACTAATTGATGCGACAGTCTATATGAAAAGTAGTATAAATTGCAAGTTTTTCATATTAGTCCATAATTTACGTCTCGAGAAGCGAAAAGTGACAGGAGGGAGTGTACACTAGTAATTGATTAGTTTGATGGAAACTTACTTGGATCACGGGCAGTTAAAAGAGCAGCAGAATTGAAGTAGCAATCAGCCCCTTTTTGTTTCATGTTTTGGTAGTAGCTATTGAATGCATAAGAGGCATGTCCTTTCACAGTATTTGGAAGGTAACATGGTTGATTCTCTTGTATTTTTGTGCAATTTGCTCCATTTTCACATGCCCATTTCAGGGCTTGAACCAACTCATCATCTGGTGTTTGTTCATCAGCTATGCACCAATCATGAAATTGTCCCTCTACATACATCTATCAAAGAGTACTTAACATTATTTAATCAGATATCTTGAGTTCATTCAAACTTCAAAAATAACAAATTTCTAGATAAAGGAGTACTTTGTCCCAACTTGAACCTAAATAAATTGGTCCAAATAGGTTCTGAATAACAGATGATTAAACAAACAAAAAATAGACTCTTACTCTTAACTATCTATATACCAAAGGGCCCGGCCCAAAAATATAGGAGACACAGAAAATTTCATATAGTCGATTCTAACTCGTAATGAATTAAGACAAAGTTGATTAATGATACTAAGGTGTGCTTTTTTTTTCTTACTTTGGTGGAACTAGGCTATTAGTAGATCCAATTACCAAATCTTGACAAGTGAAACATGGCAATATATAGATCTAAGTTTGCAGCCAAATTATATTCAATTCTTAGTTAGATCTAACCATTATAACAAGTTAAAATAGATAGTTAAACAATTACTACTAGTACTATATACTTACTATAATAAGAAAAACCAAATTCTTACCAGATTTGAAGGGAATAATTGAGAAGAAGATGAGAACAATTAAAATCTTTATCAATCCAAATGACATTGATCTTGTATGTAAATATCTTGAAATAGACATGCTCATTACAATGTATGAAATTTGAATCCTTTGATTGTGCAAATAGTGACTTAAAATGTATGCAATCATATTACAAATTGTCTAGTTTGCCCTTAAGTATCAACACATGTTATAGGATTTATATATTTAGTATAAAGGGTCATAATTGTCAATAGACTATAAGGCATATAATCTTTACAAGCATATAGATCACCGACTTGAGAAGAAAACATAAAGCTAAAAAGTGGAAAATTCCCCTCTCCATGTCTTCTACTTGTCTATTATAATAATAAATAAGGTTGATTCTCCTTCAAGTTTTACAATCATAAGTATATGGCACGTAAATATAGAGTAATCAATTGCTTAATACTATAATCCCAACAATGAAACTAGAATATGATGGTAAGTGGTGGCGATAACTAACTCTGATCGATATAATGAGTGCGCAATGGTGGTTATTGTAGCTAAGTTAGTGATGATAATGTCTGATAGTGTATGTAGTGATAGTTAGTGATGCCACTGTAGCCATTGAAATTTTACGGACTCTACAAGACGTGTTCAATTCGAATTGAGACTCTAGAAGGTGTGTTCAGTTTCAATTAGAATTCTTGGAGGCTACTCAACCCTAAACCTTAGTTTATGTCTATATAAAGGGTACTAAAGTCCCTTAAAAGGCATCTCAAAATATTCCATAAACTCTTGGGTATTTTTAAAGATCAAGATCTCGAATATTCCACAAAAGTCATGGAATATTCATATAGAGGTTAAATCTAAATCATCATAGTTCGAGAAATATGTCACTAACGGCCCTCGAATGATGGATAAATCTTAGGAGAGTAGAATCAAGGAAGGAACAGAATTGTACCCGCATATTTATCAATAAAGTTATGTTTCTTCAGATTTTATTTGTGTGGTTTATTTATTTTTCATATGTTTAAAATTTGTTGCAAACAACCACATTATAATTGTAGTGGATGATGGTAGTAAATAGTGATGATAGCGATAGAGATAGAGATCGTTAACGCTTAACATTATATAAAGGTGATTGATGGTGATAATTATAGCTAACTTAGTGGTAATGATGTCTGAGAGTGATGGTAGTTATTGATGAGAATTATAATTATGGTGGACGATTGTGAGATGGTAGTGGTCTGGTAGTAACATCGACAAATAAGAGATAATGGTGGGTGGTGGTGATTCAAATAATGATAATAGTAAATAGATGATGCCACCGCCCCCGCCCCCGCCCCGCGGAGGGTGGTGATTGATAATAGTGATTAAAAAGTGCAAATAATCAAGCCCAAAAACATTGTGGATCCATGAAGATGGGCCGGGCCATCAAAATTGATTATAGCAAAGCCCAAAATTGACCTTCAAGCCCAACAACTGTTTAGAGTGAATCCCCTGCCGTTCTTCTTCCTTTCTTGGCTGACAAAGCTTTCAACTTTCTCTCTTTTTGGAGTTTTGGGTATTAAAATCCACTGATTTTGATCCAAAAACCATAGTAAACAGTGATTAACAAAGAAAGAAAGAAGTAATTTCTCCATTAATATTCATCATGTGCAGCAATGAGGAGCATTAATGGCAGAAAAATCGTTTCTTTATTCAAATCTGAAAAATTACTTCAAAAACCAGAAACAGATATATGAATGGCAGCAAGAATCTCCATCAAACACTTGACCCCTTATTTTTCTTTCACAAAAAAATCCCAATTCTCTTCATTAACACCTACTTATCAATCCAAAGCTTTGGAATTTCTTGATTCATGTCAAAGTTTGGCACAACTCTTTCAAATCCAAGCACATTTGATAATAACTGGTCTTTTACAAGTACAAAATCCCTCATATTCTTGCAGATTTTTGAAGCTCTGTACTCAGCATTGTGATGATATTGAATATACTGCATTGGTATTTAAGTGCATTCATTTTCCTGATACTTTTTCAGTTAATACTGTTATAAAAGCTTATGCTTGTAGTTCTTTGCCTGATAATGCTGTAGTTTTCTATTTCCAAAGGCTTAAAAATGGGTTCTTGCCTAATAGTTTTACGTTTCCACCTCTCATGAGTGCTTGTGCTAAAACGGGTCGTTTGGATTCGGGTCAGAAGTGTCATGGACAAGTTATGAAAAATGGTGTTGATGGAGTTTTGCAAGTGCAGAACTCTTTAGTGCATTTTTATAGTTGTTGTGGTTTTATTGATCTTGCTAGGAAGGTATTCGATGAAATGCACCAGAGGGATGTTGTGTCTTGGAACAGTATTATGAATGGATATGTAAAAGTGGGTGAATTACTCGTTGCGCGACAGTTGTTTGATGCAATGCCAGAGTGTAATTTAGTTGGGTGGAATGTCATGATGACTGGGTATTTGAATTCGAATAACCCTGGGAAGTGCCTAAAGTTGTTCAGAGAAATGGCACAGAGGGGATTGAATGGAAACGATACAACTATAGTTATTGCAGTTACTGCTTGTGCTAGGTCAGCTCGAATGAAGGAAGGAAAATCTGTTCATGGGTGTCTTATTAAGGCATCAAAAGACTTGAATTTGATTATTAGTACGACTTTAATCCATATGTATAGTAGATGCGGAAGAGCCGAAATAGGTCGTTTAATTTTTGATCGGATATCGATCAAGAACATAGTTTGCTGGAATGCAATGATTTTAGGGTATTGCATTCATGGAAGCCCAAAAGATGGGCTTAATCTGTATTCAGACTTGCTGAGTATTAGATTAGAAAGTACAGAAAAAAATCATGTTAAGATCCGTGTGCTTCCTGATGAAATCACATTTGTCGGCGTCTTATGCGCTTGTGCCCGTGAAGGACTGTTAACAGAAGGAAGAGAACACTTTGGAAACATGAGTGATGTGTTTGGTATAAAGCCCAGCTTTGCACATTATTGGTGCTTGGCTAATCTTTTGGCAAATGTTGGCCTAATGCAAGAAGCAATAGAAACTCTGAAGAACATACCAGTGGAGAGCAATTTGCCACTGGAATCCTCATTGTGGTCTGAATTGCTTGGCTCAGCACGCTTTGGACGGGATGTAAGTTTAGGAGAACAAATTGCGAAGAAGTTGATTGATCAAGACCCCAAGAATTTTTGGCATTATTTATTGCTGGTGAACATCTATGCTGCAGCTGGTCGTTGGGATGAAGTAGCTCAGACAAAGGAGAAAATGAAGAATAGAGGAATAGAAAGAACACCAGGTTGCAGTTTAAAAGACCTGAAGGAAATTGTTCACAACATGTCAACCACATAAAGTGCAGGTATCTTTTCGTTAGCTGGTGTCTTCTATTTACCTGAGTAATAGCCTTTGATTTTAAGGAAAATCATACTTAGATGCATGACCCTATATATTCTCATATCATACATGTTCATAAAGTTTGTGTCCTACTTTCTGAGAATATATCGGCTGGGAACCTAAAAGTGATACTGAAGATATCACCATGAGGTCTCGGGTTCAGTTCCCAGCAGAAATAAAACACCAGGTGATTACTTCCATTTGTTCTAGCCTTGGTGGATAGAGTTACCAACTTATTGCTAGTGGGAGGTGACAGATATCCCATGGAATTAGTCAAGGTGCACACAAACTGGCCCCGGATACCACGGTTTAAAATAAATAAATAATTGTGTACTTTATGGGAAGACCAATATTAACAAATCATATCCTTTCATAGTTAAACTTGTTTGCGTTACTTCCTTTTTTGAAAAATAGTTGTTATTTTTCATTTAAGACGATATCGTTTATTTAGGTGCAATATGTAGATATTACTGGTTAATAGGTGTATCTTTATTGCAAAAGTATTCAAAACCTTTTTCTTTGTCGTACATTTATCCAAAGTCGACAGTGTTTCCATGCTATGAAGTTTTTATAGCTGTGAGTGGTAAAAGGGTGAATTTAATTATCTTTTACTCAAGTGATGTGAGTAATCTTCTTTTCTATGCTCCATAAAAAAGAAGAAATAAGAAATTGGTTGAAGGACAAGTAGGTGATTAATTGCACGAGCAACTTCATTGCAGTTTGAGTAGCTGTACTCTAGTAAGAGCAAATATACTGTTTTTTGTGGTTAATTTAACTTGTAACACCACTCTTTTTTCAATTTTGAGTTTGAGTAGACTACGGACAAGATCTTTCATATTACGGTCTGATACCTTTCTCTTGTTAGAGTCATTTTTTAAACTGGACGTAGTTGACAAGCTAGCTAATGCTGCGTTGAATGGAACATCGAAGAACAGGTTAAAAAGTCCGTCTTATAGTGTTGCCTCCTTCTTAATCACACCAATCCTGTAAAACATTAATGCTTTGTTGACTATTTCTCTAAGTTAATTCACCCCACATAATCTTGGAAATTCTGTGCCAACCTTTAAATAGGTACTCCCTATCTTAGAATTCAAATTCTATGAGCATAACTAGATATCTTACTCCTATCTTCGTTTGATTTATCCAGCTGTCTGTGCTTCTTTGATACTTTGGGCTCTAACAATGAAGAATATAAATTGCACGAGATGCAGCAGCAGCTTCAATGGAACATTTTTGATGAATCTATGGCTAACTGTCCTTGCATCATAAGGTGCTTTGAAAAAGCTAAACATCATGGTAAAGACTTAACAGCTATGATGGATCAGTACCTTCATGCATATATGTCAAAGTATTTGTCCTTATTTGAGATGTAATAAATTGTATACCTTTAAAACGACCAAAAATAAAATCGTATTCCTTTGAGATCTCATCATGATCCTGCTTATTATTATTCTTTTCTTCTCAGGGAGGCTTTACTGATGACTTGCTTACAAACTTAAATGTCTACTGCCGTGCCCTTGTCCAAGGATGACTCAAAGTCCAGATATGCAGGGCTCATGGGATGCTTTACTGGTAAACTCCAACTTTGTTTTCAGATGTTGATGATGTTCTTCTGTTATAACAAACAATATTCAACTACAAAATGCATGAGTCAACTAAATGTTTTCCTGATCACCTCTAGGATTTCTGATTTCAAAATGGATTTTGGAATAAAGAATGACTTGGACGATGGGAATACTGCAATCACATCCTACTTTGGGTCTCTACAAGAAGGTCCATAAACAGATGGGAGATGTGTGGAACGGAAGGTGGTGGTATAAACTGATTATGAAGATGATGGAAGAAAGGGCAGAACGACCCCTAAATCATGGCTATTCTTGGTCAAGCTGAGATGATAGAATATGTAACTGGCGGATGGAAGCTTTTATAGTGGCAGTCACCTAGCTCTCCTTTTGACATTCAGAGGGTAAAGCTTTCGAGATCCTGAAGAGTGGCAATAAAACACCATCAGGACATTTCGGCTGATGATGAAACTTGCAGTTCCTTAACCTATTATCGCACTTGAATGTCCTTGCTTAGTTTGAATACACCAACACCTGAGTTTGTGGTCACTGACATCTACATAAGTAGATCATGTACAAATCTGTCATTGGATGGTGTGATATTTTGACACCTCAAAATGGTTTACGATTCTGATATGAAGGCATTTTTTCGTGAAGTTGACAGTTTTGGTTGATATCAAGTAGTCTGGTCATTGTACTATCCATACAAGACTAGACAAGATCTAAAAAGTAAAAGAAAAGATGGGGTTAAACTACTTCTTACTTAGCAATGAAATTGAATACTCTTACCATACATAAGTAAATACTGCACTTTTAGAGCTTGACAGGCAATCAAGATTTGTACATTCTCAACCAACGATAACGGAAAACAAAAACAAATGTGATGATATAAGAAGCAATACAGTTTTTTTCAAATTCTCACATTCGACAAGCTGAGAAATCTCTGTTCCATACACAATGCATATAGATTCTTTCTGTAAACACCTAGATTTAACAAAAGACATATATGTTGCTTTTCTCCATTGAAACATATCTGGTTTCATTCAAGCCAAGTACTCCACATGATGGATAGATGAACACTTCTTTCTCCAAGATATCTGCTGGTATTAATTTCTTGTCCCCCAGACCTGCCAGCTAAATATGACATTGTACTCCAAAAACTGGTGATAAACTAAGAAGAATACGAGAGTTGTAACATAACAAGAAAAGAAGAAAAAAGAGTGTCTCAATCATACATAAGAAACTAATAAGTAAGTGATCTTGGAGAAATTAAGCTTTCTGTAAAAGCATGTCCATCACATATGGAATCACATGAAGGCCATGCTCCAAATGGTCCACAACGTGTTGGAGAAATCAAGCGTTCTCTAAAAGCATGCCCATCAAATATGGTATCACATCGAGGCCATGCTCCAAATGGTCCACAGCGTGTCCTAAACATAACCCCTTCATTGCACCAGAATAGCATTTCACCATCTGCAAACCTATATTTCGGTATAGAAATAGCACCCGTAGGATCTTCTACAGATAAGAATGGAATCCAAGATTCCTTGATACCATACTCTTTCAATACCCATAACTTAATAGTACGCTTACCCGGATAAATAGAATTAGAATGAACACAAAGCATTCCTTCCAACACTGTAGCGCCAATAAGCGCAGTCAAGGCTGACATTTCCTCCGGAAAGGGTATCTCTCCATACACTTCATTTGAAATACTAAACGACACCACCACAGCATGATTTCGTGAGTAAGCGATCCAATGAAATGCCGCATGTACAAATGCCAAAAACTGCCTGCAAACGAACCAGTTGTCAATGCCACGAGGATGCTCATCAATTCTTCTCCAGGAGCCACCTTTCAGCGCGAGAATTTCACCAGGAAAAGAGCAACCCTGATAATGCTGAAAGATCTTATACCCACCACTGGTTGAGTCATAACCCAAACCAAAACAAGTAAGGCTCCCCCGTGGAAACTCCGGAGAAGGAAGTACTATTGATTCTCTTGTGGAGGGGTTCCAAAGCAAAAGTGTGGAGTGTTTATCTTTAAAATTATCACGAACCTCCATAACAGCCAGGCCATCATAACAACAATGGATTCTGCAGTGCCATGGTGTAGGGTTTGAAGGGAAATTGAGTTTTTGTACATCCTCAACCAGCTGAACTGGCAACAAAGGACAACAATACATGGAAAATATACGATTCTTACTGCACATTTGGATAGTAAGAAGTTTCTGGGAATCTTGGTCATTTTTGGCACGATTGAGATGCTTCTTCTTAAAGTAAGGCTCGGAGATCAACGTTTCCCAATATTTCGATACACATTTGAATCGAAGTAGAGACTGCACAGGTAACCGGCTAAGGATGTCCATAAGTATTATCTCTGAGAAGTGAATTGACAGGGCCTAGATAGGACAAGAAAGAGCGGTCATACAATTTTTTTTATAGTATTCATATATTAGACATTTCAACCAAGAGTTCAGAAAAGATAAACCTGAATTTGTTTTATTTCTTCTATCTACTATTTAGTAACAAATATAGAATTGAATATTTCAAGTGGAGAATACTGATTTTACTCGGCTCTTGGCAGTGGCACCAAGTAAACATGCCAAGCATCTAAGTCCCAACCAACAACAATTTAAAATACTCAATTGTAAGTAACACAACTCATAAATCAGAACTTACATCAACATCCATCTGGTCTGTGTTATCATTTGATGGCTCCACAACGCTCTTCCCTAATTTAATTAAAAAATTAAGTCTGATTATAAAGAAAAACACACACACAGAGAGAAAAGACTTAGGATGTAGCTGGTGAAACAGTCGAGGTGCATAAACATACACAGACACAACAGCAGCTGCACAAAACAAACAGATACCTTTGAAGATCTGATTAAACTTTTGGATTGCATCAATTCCACTGCTAATAAGAATTTGATTGAAAAGATCAACCCCTAACTTTGGAGTTGCAATGGACTTCTTCTGTTTTTGTATCTCTGGAGCAGAACTACTATCTGCTAATTTTCGATCATTCTTAATTTTTCGTGTCATCTTTCTTTGGAGCGATTACTGCTTTCTCAATTACTAAGTATTGATTGAAGAGACTCGATTTTTTTTATATGCAAAAGAAAGGGCTTATTGAAAGAGAGTAGGGATTTCTTGCTAATCAGGTACTATCATCAAGCTGCAATTGCTTGAAAAAAAATCAATTGAAACATCAGGTGGGATAAAATGATAGAGTATACCTGCGCCGCTTGATGATCGGATGCACAATCTTGTTTTCTAGGGTTTCTTTTTCTATTGAAAAAAAGCTTTAGTTTTGTTCATTCATTATCACAATTTATGCAACACAATTATTAACTAAAGGGTCTAATTAACACAAATATTAGATAGTTAGGCGTCGTTTTGCGTGAAGTATAAGGTATAATAATCCCAGGGATAAAATGTAGGACTATTTTATCCGGAGTTTGGTTGGAGGTATTAGGCAATCCTGGGATTATTTATTCCACCATCCTGGGAGGTAATAATCCATATATATGGTGGAATAATTAATCCTATGATAACTTGTTCCCAACCAAACGACCCTTTAGAGTATTATAAATTAGAAAACTTCTTTTTATTGTAAAAAAGAAGAGCATTACAATGCGAATGATTTTACGATGCGAATAATAAATTATCATGACACAAAGGAGAAATTCTGCAGGGACAACTGTTTGATAAATTACCTTTTTTATTATTTCTTGCAATTTAGATTCTTTGTCATATCATAGTAAGATTCCTTTTGAGCAAACTGAAAATAGCATAAGAAAATGTTAGATTGTGGTCCAAATTTGTTGTAAGTTATTCAAATGTTCAATGACAATCTTATATTTTAACAGTAAGATTGGGAAACTTATGAACAAACATGAGACAAAATCTAATGTTATTTGGAAGGTAACTTTTAAGGGCTATATTTGCACAACTTCTAAAAATGACACCATAAATAGTGGTGTAAAGAAGGAAATTAGTGTAAATTGACAAGAGGTGCACCGTTAATTCACATAGAAGAAGCTTCAAATACAAGACAAAAGGAAAATTCCCAACAAAGAAAGAAATTAGTATCTCCTAATCAACTTAGCAAAGGTATTTGTTTCTTTCTGCGAGGTTTTTTTACCTTGGGTTTGCAAGTGTTGTTGTCTTTTTGGGGATGACCACAATTTTCAATTGCAGCAAAAAGAATTGTGAATCCGTCAAAGAATTCAAAGAAGATGGATGTTTTTTTTATGACTGTGGTGTCCGGGCCAGCTTTTGCGCACCTCGACTAATTCCACAGATACCTTCCACCTCCCACCAACAATAGGTACCAGGTAAAAATTGATGATGGAAGTTGTTGATCAGGTTACTTCATTTGTTGGTTGAACGTAGAATCTAGGATTATTTGCTATGTACAAAAGGTATTTTTCTTGTGTTTTCGTTTTACTCAAATTATTGTTAAAAAAATTAAACCCTAGTGGAAAAATGTAGTTGAACAATCAGTCTTAAAAAATGTAGCGGAACAATGAGTAATGCATACAATCTCTGTAGTTTTTTCCACACTGGTCTGGTCACTAGAATTCGCTGGAACTTTAGAGCACATGTGCTCTAGGGAGACAGAAATCCAAACACAAAGCCGACAAATCATTACCAAGCATCAATAGCTTCCATCATTGAACCACTAGAAAACAATGTAAGAAAACTAATTGATGCCTTTTTTACAGCCATGCCAGTTTATGCAATCACTGAATTATTTTTTCAAACTAGACACCACAACCATAGCCAAGGCACCAAACAAATTGGAAATTCATAAAGTACTTCACCCATTTATAGCTTACATGGGGCCATTGCCAATTGACAAGTAATTTCATCTGCTTGAAATTTTCTAATTTATGATTTCTCAGTAAATAGTAACAATATCAACATACCCGGTGTAATCCCACATGTGGGTCTAGGGAGGAGGGTGGTGTGCACGTTGCCTTGCTCCTACCTTGTGAAGGTAGATAGGTTGTTTCCGATAGATCCTCAGCTCAAGTAAAGCATAACAAAATCAAATATGTAAAGCAAATACATCAACAGAGAAGTCATGCCGAAAACAATGAAGAAGAGAATAATAGCAACAACAAATAATATGAAAGTCGAAGCAAAGAAAACATAGGTAATACTAAAGTCAAAGAATACGGTAGTAGGAAAGTAATAATAACAACACGGATAAGTAACTAGACAATGCTCGACTACCTACTAACCTTCTACCCTAATCTCCATCCTCCGTATCTTCCTAGCTAGTGTCATATCCTCGGTAAGCCGCAAGCGTGTTAGTAGTTTGATGAAATCGTGAAATTTTCTAGATTTATCTTTTCTAAACTCTTAGATGAAATTGTTTCATAATTGAATACCTTAAAAAAATGTATGATCACATTTTCTTTTCTATCTAGCCCATGCAACTCACTTCCAAGATGAAACACTTATGGACATCCTCAATAGGTTACAGTCTCTTTGATAATCATCATACAACAACAACATACCCCGTGTAATCCCACAAAGTGAGGAATGAGAGGATAAAGTGTACGCAAACCTTACCCATACCTCAGACTATGGTGTTAAGGAATATTGGAATGTATTTTCTTTATTATACATGATCCCGGGCTTTTTCACGCCATACAAACTATAGGTTTGAGGATGGTGAACTCCTATTTCAATTCATACATTTTGATTGTACAGGGCATTATTTTACAGACATCCAAAGGACCCTGAACTCACCTGATCAATAATTCCACTGATTCTTTTTTGATAACCACGGCATCCTGTGTACCAGCTTGGGTGTACACTAATTCCACGGGATACCTGTCACATCCCACGGGAATTTAAGTTCAACAAAAACTCAACAGTAAGTAAGCAACACGACCTAGAAATCAAAACTCACCCAAATTATTATTTGTCGCCTCCCACAAATTGTGGTTCGCATCTTCTCTATTGCTAACAATTTTTTATTGAAAAGATTGCTTCTTTTGTTGAGCTTTGAATACTCTCTGCTTCAATTGAACAAAATTTCTGCCTTCCCAGATTCAATTTGAATTCTAGGGCTTTTTATATTGCATAGGGATTGAGAGATAGGCGGTTCGGGTTACGGGTTACCCAAGCACCAATCTCCCTTGGGTCCGATTCTTTTCTTTCTTTTGATACATAATAATTTTGGTTGACGAGACTCGAGGTAGTGATAACGCTAAGTTAGAGGTTTTGAGATAAATTTTAGAATAAAAAAGGTTTAGATTGAGCATGATCAAGATAAAATGCTTGAAGTGCAAATGAAGTGACGTAATGTGTGAGACTTATGTCGAAGTGAGGTTTGATACACAAGTCATTAGAAGAAAAAAAAACTTTCAAATATCTTCAATTTTGTTAAGGGAATAGGAAAATTAACAACGATGTGACTCCTCGTATTAATACAGGGTGGATGAAATGGAGGTTCGCATTTGGAGTCTTATAGTCCTGATACCATGCAAATTTAGCTAGATAAAGATATGATCCTACATGAAAAAGAAAAAAAAAAGATGTGGAGGACACTGAATAGGACAAAACGTTTGTCTGTTCAAATTAGTAATCATAATACTACTCCTGTAGTTTTTTGTCCTTCGATTTCTGTTAATATCTGTTGTTTCTTGTACTTCAATTTCTATTACTATCTGTTGTTTCTTGTACTTCAATTTCTATTACTATCTGTTGTTTCTTGTACTTCAATTAGTTTATTATTTTGTTTTAGTTTTCATTCTAATATTATCTGTTATTTTCAATATTATTTATTGTTTCTTGTACTTCAATTACTATTTGTTTTCATACTATTTTTTCTTGAATAAAAAATCTATCAAAAACATACTATGAAATAGTAATAAAATTTGTGTATACTCTATACTTCTCAAACTTTACTTTGTGGGATTATACCATGTATGTTATTATTGTAGTGTAGAATTAAAAAGGGGAAGATATGGGTAAATCACTCACATATAGGATAGGATAGATGGACCGACCCGGCCCAATCAATCAATCCCCCCTAAATCAAGAAAAAAAAAACTTAGCAAGCATATCCAAAATCACAAGTCTTTTCAATGAAAGCTCGAAACTTTATCATATCAATTATGAAAATGACAACAAAGAAGAAGAAGAAGTTGAAATTATTAGCAAATAGACAACTTTTCAAAGTTCAACAAAAGAAGAAGATGAAGAAATCGATTTCAATTACAGAAAATCAAATGAATATTGTTGATCAGGTGAGTTACCTACAATTGTTTTACTTACAATACATTTTTATGTGTATGTTTTGAAGATAACATTTTATTATCTATTTATCTAGCCCGTGACAACTCACTTGCTAGACGAAATACTTATGGGCATCCTCACCAGATTACCTGTGCGCTCTCTTTTACAATTCAAATGTATTTCAAAACCTTAAAAAACATTGATTTCCAACCCTTACTTTAAAATGAAGCATCTCAATCGCGCCAAAAATGACCTCAATTCTAAAAAACTCCTTGTTTGGCAATGTTGCCCTAAAGATTGTAAATATCACATGTATTGTTTGAATTTATCGTCGGATCAACCAGTTGAGAATGTGCGAAAACTTGATTTCCCTTTAATCTTTAGACCATATATGTGTTCAATCACTTGCTCATGCAATGGCTTGGTTGTTATGATGGTAAATGAAAATATTGAGGGCGAAGACAACATATATTTGCTATGGAACCCCTCCACGGGAGAATCAATTGTACTTCCTGATGCACAACTTTCACCAGATCAAAGTGGTCATATGGTATAGTGTTATGACTCAACTTCTGGTGCTATAAGATCCTTTATATTCTCTGTTACATAGATAGTACTGGAAAAATTCTCGCGTTAAAAAATGGTTCTGGAGAAATATTGATAAACATCCTCGTGGCATTTGTAGTTATGCATTATTTGCCATTTGTAAACGAGGCATTTCATTGGATCGGTATTTTTGGGAAATACTCTAAGGATTCAAGAAATTATTCAGTGGTTTCATTTAG